TGCATCGTCAACACCTGCCCTGCCTGTTTATGCCTTCACATTTTTTATAAGCTGCCTTTCATGGAAAGGAAAAATGTTGACTTTTCCTACTAAATACATTAATTCCACAAATTCAAAGAACATACTGAATGTGAATAAATTGTTTTTTTGTCAAATAGAATCTGGAAACTCTCCTTTTTATTGCTGCAGATAAAAAAAATACAAGATGCCTTCGCAGCTCAATGAGCAATAGTGTTTCCTATTACACAAAGATAGATAGATAGTCAACTGCATCTCAGTATCACACAACCTCCTTCTGTTTGTTACCAACACATTGTGCTGCATACACTCCTACTGCCTCCCTCCTCAATCCTCCCCCATCCATCCATCCCGTCTCCCATATCCCCAGGTGGTGCCGACGGCTGCGGGGCCCATTAGCGACAGAATTCCTGCCTCCAGCAGGCCATGCATGTCCCGAGTGACACATTTTTGGACCGGCACCAAAAATCCAACCCTTCACAGACAGCTCACTTCCCTCTGCAGTCACCACAGTATGTGCATGTGCATGTGTGTGTGAGTGAGAGAGAGAGAGAGAGGCCTTGCGAACACAGCTTGAGTCCCACAGGAAATGCTTGAAAGGCAATATGGGCCAGATTGGTGATGGCGCAGAATGGACTAGAATACTAAAAAGAAATGCAAAGATGTTCTACAGTGGACAGATCATACTTCGATAAGAAGAGTCTCCTGCCAGGCTGGGACATTTGTTATAGTCATAACCTCTACAAAAATCTTTCACTGTGTATCTTCATGTCTTAAAATGTAAACTGCGTAGACGTATTCTCATACATAGAACATTTTAATTGGATTTTGCTGACGCACATTGTTGTTTGTTGCTGCTCTTTGCCAGCTGATGCCTGTGTACCAAATTTTATTTTACAAACACTCCCAGCTCACGGAGGAGAACTAGTTCTGAATGTTTTATTATATTCTGCATGCACTGCATACAGTGAAAGGTAGCAGTATATGAAGTGATCACACAAGTGTTATTTGATGGTCATAAGTCTTATTAATCGTAAGAAGGAGTGAGAATGAAAAAATACATGTAAGTCATGAGTTAAGAAAGAGCACTAAGACCTTTTGGTGTGGATATTATGAATGGATTCTTTCTTCATACTAATAGATAGTTAATTATGTACCTAATGACTCCTCACAAAGCGCTATATAATTAGTCTAGATGAGCCGAGAAAGTTCCTACTTGTTCTTACATGTTTAATGCTGGTGATTTCTCATTTCCAAATGGGAATGTGGGTGATGGTGGTATAACATTAGTCTCTGTGGGTTACAGAAAGGTGCTGATATCTATCTATCTATCTATCTATCTATCTATCTATCTATCTCTCTATCTATCTATCTATCTATCACATGCCAGAATGCAGTCATGACTACCAGATGCTCACATACACAGCCGAGGGAATCAAAACCACTTCACCCAGTAGCACCCTTGTCTCCCAGTCTGCCCTGAAATAGAGTGTTGCTGGGGTGTCAGAGGATCACACCCCTGTATGCTTCCCACCTGCTCCAAAACCCACCTAATACTGTCTTATATTGTAGCCACACACTTTCTCTCTCTCACACACATACACAGAGAACTACTAGACAAAGAACACAAAGCACGAAGGTGATGTAGTGACAGATGCTCCTGTCACATACTTAGCATATCTCCACCTCCAATAGTGCAACTGCAGGAGCTGCTACAGTATGGGTGTCTTACTCCATGGAAATCATCGGCGTTTCTACTCAAAACTCATTCATTTCCACTTTATTCGTCAGACAAAAGCAGCTCTTAAACCACAATCCCTCACCCAATATTTATCCAATCTGACCAAATATTATAATTAATGCTTCTGTCTCTCCTCTTGTCTCTCCTCAGGGCCAATATATTCCCCACAATTCTCTCCCTCCCACCCTGTCTAACCTTTTGGTGCCAAGTTCACAGATAGAGAGAAAGTACTTCCTGTGAGAGGCCGGGCCGGCTGCCAGAGAGACTGATCCACCAATCTGACATGTTAATGAGATCCTGGCCCACAGTACTAGAGTGTTAGGCCTCCTCTGCTGCAGCATCAGCCCTGCCATGACCCGCAACACACACACGCCTGCGCACACACGCGCACGTCTCTACTCATATGTTTAATTTTTTCACACATGCGCCGGGGTTGGTTCAGCTCCTTAAATCTGTCTAATTAAAACACCAAATCCCCCTACTCCCCTCACCCACTAACACAATCCTCACTTTCCAGAAATACACACACACACACACACACACGCACACACACACTTGCACCCCTACCCTCCTCCATTCCCCACTGCCACCACCCCCGATTCCGCAGGAGAAATGATTATTAGGAATTTAATGGGGGAACGTTTCCCATCCCACACCATCTGGGGCTTGGGAATGGCACAGAATTTGAGGATGCTTGCCGACGTGGTGAGGAACATTATTTTCATTTTTCTTGACTGGTGCTCAGATTTTCAGACATTGCATAAAAAAGGCTCCCCATTACAATAAATTACCATAATATATAACAAAATAAAATACAGATAAAGATAAATTTGTGTTTGTTTGTTTGTGTTAGGTGATTGCACAAAACTTTTCTCAACTTCCGAGATGATTATTGTCACTCTGCAACTTATCCTTATAGAAAGTTTGTTTTGCACTAATTATAACACCACGTCTGAGATAGCAAATACACCTCTATACGATATATATCCCCCATCTCTGTCCTTCACCTCCTACACAGAGCTGGGCCATATGCTCCCTCTTCCTCTCTCTGCTTATACTTCTTTCTCCCCCTCGTTCACGCTCACTCCATCCAGCTTAATAAGCTGCATGGATGTAAGGGTAAGTGTACACGTTTGACCCCTTGTTAAACTGCGGCACGCCACTGTGTGGACCCTGTGGGTGTGAAACAGCCCCCTCCCTCCTCTCCTCCTCTCCCCGTCAGCCTCCATATGAAGCCTCAAGAGGCATTTGAACCCACGAACACAAGTAGATACTACGTATTCACAAGCACATACGCTGCTCAGCCTGAAAGAAAAACCAGGGAGACTGACAAGGTGAGAATCTTGTCAGAAAAGGCCTGATTGTGGGTTGAGGAATGAAGGCTAAAGAAGTGATTTTAGGGACCCTGTTTCTCAGAGTTAAGAAAAGAGGAAGCAAAAAAAAAAAAAGGAATGAAGACAGTAAAACAAACCCTGTCCAATGTTTCCAGCCATCTCCCAAAACAAAATGTATGATCTCACAGAAAGTCCCAGATATTCCTGTCAGGACTCCTCAATTCACCAAAAGCATCATTTAATTTGTCTAAATCAACATGAGACAAGTCCCAAAACAGTCTGAGACTCTTTGTAGTTGTGTCAGTAGAAAGAGAAAAAGGATGCTGCACAATTAATGTGGAATTCAGGTTTATGTGATCTCTGTTCAGTAACCTGTTAAAAACCGATTCATGGTTCCTATGAGAAGCTTCCACTGAGCCTACATAATGCTTCTAGTTTTCTTTTTTGATGCTATAAAATTAAATGTGCACTAATTTCATGTTTGCCAAGATTTACTGTTAATTTAATTTGTATGTGTAAATATAAAGCAACAAATGCTAATAATTTCATTACAGAGTCACAGCCCTGAAATTACTGTCATAATAAATGTACAAAGAGCAGCAGAATTTGGTGTTCGATTTAACAAAAACTATGTAAATGAATACAAATAGTTAACTTTCTGAATCTGTTTGCTCAGTAAACATGTTTGTTTGTGTTATCAGTGTACGACACTGGACTGCAGCTGCAGAAAAGACACAGTAAATAGTTGTTCACAGGACAGGCCCTGACAGAAAACAGGGGTCAAGATGAATAAGTTATTCTTGTAAAGATGGACCAACTCAGTCTAGTCGAGCTCTCTCTCAGTCTGGGTTATGAGTATATATGCCTTGGTTATTCCAAACAGGTTGCCACTGTCATTATATGAGAGGCTGAATGTTATTACCTTCATAGTCTTAGAGGTTTTAAAAATGCTTTTTTATCTAAAATGTCACAAATCCACTTTGATACTTTAACATTAAAAATCTGAAATTAGAGTAGTAGATTTAAATTGACGAACTCGAGATTGAGTTTATTTGTTAGATACTTTGGTTAAATGCTTGTACTGGGCCTTAATGCTGTAAAAATGAGCGTGAAATGGGCGTGCGTGTATGTATTAAATTATTTAAAAGGAACTTCCTGGATGAAATTGCATTACTGTATGTTAAAAAAGAAACTATTCCATCAGCGTGTCATCGGAAAAGAGAAAATGACATGAAGAAAAAGATGAAATCTTCTGAAACGGTTAGTAACCTAAAACATTCCGCTAATAAAAGAGAACATGTGGACCTGCCCTCCATAGCTCCTCCTTGACCCTTCATGAGGAAAGAAGATCTCAGTGATGAAAAAAGAAACGCACATATTTGAGGCACTGGCTGCCTTTTTTTTTTTTTTTGGAATAACAGCGATTTTTTTCTAGGTTTACTTGCAGCCTACCACGTTTCTCCTGACTGGGAGAACTGGGATCGACTGTCTGTGCTTCCTGGCTGACATCCAACACCTCATGGGCATCTTCGTCACAAATCAACCATCTAATTAGCTGAAATTAAATTACTTTATCCTCAGCCTTTTATAAAGTAAGGAACTTTTCAACTCTACCTGAGATTTGTGTGACCTTTTTAACAGCACTGTTTTAACATGAACTGCTTAATTAAAAATCCCAAGTTAAAGTGAAGTTTAAACAGTTGTGTCGTCATGGAAAAGAATTAGGATCTCTCTAAAAATACATTTCTATGATATATGATGGTAAGAAGTTCTAACTATTCCTCAGAAGGAGCATTTTATGTTGCTTCCAGACCACAGGCCTCTTAAACACTGTCACCACAACCTCAGAGGTTGAATTTCTGAAATAAATAAATAAAAATTACGCCCCGGGCGTTTTCATCTTGCTTTATTTCTCAAACAAATTATTTTTTAAAACTGCCATCTGCTGTCGATCATTTCCACAGAAAGGTGAGAAGCTGCCTCTTCATTTTATTGCGACAAACACAGCACAAAACATGAACACATTACTTCACGAATATTTCGATCCATAACGAGTTTCCAGGGGTGCGAGTTGTGTGTGTGTGTGTGTGTGTGTGTGTGTGTGTGTGTGTGGGCCGGACCAGTAAGTGCTGAAATAAATTAGAAATGCCATCTAATAATTATCCATAATCCGGCGTAAAGATACAAAACTTATCAGGGTTTAAGAGATCACAGTCACCAACATTGTGCAGAAACACACTGTGTGCATCACAGTTCCTCCTGAGCAGGAACAAAGTGTAAAAAGTTCACATCAAACTATCCAAAACTTTCATTTCGTTGCATATTGGTGGCGGTCGTCTCTTTTTTTTTTAAGGCAGGTTGATCGGTTTCATGTCGTTTTGTTCACCTCACACAAACTGACTTTTCTTGCCGTGCTCGACTTTCAGCTGTAGTGAAATACAGTTTACAACAATGCAACATAAACAAATTCTAAATGTCGGGAAATCCACATAAAGGTAACATCGTTGAATTTCACAATAGTTTTATAATATATCATCCACATTAAAGTTGACGGACTTACAGTATAATAAATAAGCTTAAATAAATAAATACAATAAGAATTTACATTCACCTCGTTACCACACTATTTACTCCAAGAACAAATGCATTTGATTCGTAGTTTTCCCCCACTACTTCCTGTATTTATAGGACCAATTCAGATGACATCATCGTCAAGTCTCCTGAACACATGCACGTCTCATAACTGGCCATACCTTAATAACTAATTTTGTGCCATCATTTTAATAGGATGTGAGTTTAGGAGAAACGCCGTGTGAGAGGAAATAGACATACATCATTTTTATAAGCAAAGATTGCATTTGGCTGCCTTGCATAGCTCAATTGAACTTTATTGCTAACAGACTGAATCTCTGAACTCCAATCATGTTTCAGCAAACTTCCCTGATGAAGTGAAACCTCCACAGATTCGTCTTCCCCTGTTTTTTCATTTAGCTGATTTTATTTCGGAACGGAAATCATTTTTAATGAGTGTAAATGTATTAACTTTATCTAAGCCACATCATCACCGACTTCTGCAATAGCCTACATACAAATAAATTAATGCACTCTAACTGCAAATACATTTCTCTGAAACTGCACCTTTAATAAAATATTTGAATTGCTGTGGTCGTTCATTAGAGACAAATATGTTGCAAAGAGACACTGACATGTAATTTTCTTTTAAGGAACCAGAAGATCTGCCTTGACAATGAGATAACGTCTTTCTTGTGGCGTCTTTTTCCTGCCTAGTGTCGAAACAAATTTAGTGGAACAACAACTGAGAACCAGTGAAATCATCATATGTAATTTGCAAACTTTTACCATATCTCAAAGGATCTGGCTGAAATTTAACACAAAGTGACTTGTTATTATGAGCATTTTTGCAGTGCATCGTCGTGTCTGGAGTCCATTTCGTTCCACTCTCGACACCTTCTGGGGAAATTGCATCGCTTTTGAAACTTGAACTTTGTCCAGCTGATTGATTAATTGTGGAAAGAACCATTAACTTCCCCTTGTGCTTGGAAGGACTGACTGCGGACGTGCAGGTCGTAGGGGAAACGGGCCTCTGGGGAGACTCGGTACATAGAGTTGTGCGCAAGAGACGTGCGCCCTGGCGCACTGCAGTATCGCATGCCATAGTGGCTGCTTTTGCCGTAGTCTGGAGGCTCGTCGTGTTTTAGGGAAAAAATCCCGTTAAAGTTCATCTGGGGGCTCAGCTGGCCGTCAAAATGCGGGCTCCCGCTCTCTGGGGACTGGTTCTCGTAGTAGGGCTCGTAGGCGCTGCTGTAGCTGTAGTGTCGGAAGGGTTTGGCACCGCTCTCCAAGCTATTGCCGCTGTGGCCGGGGGGCGTGTTCATGTCTGAACCGGGGTATGAGTACATGGCATCGTAGGGCGATCTGCCAGCGAACATGACCTCACCATTGTGGTCTGTGAGGAAATTTCTCGCATTCAGCTGCAAACAACCCGCTACCAAGTTGGTTGTGGGCTGAGATAATCCTTTGCACAAAGTCTGTACGAAGGCGAGAAGGTCCGGTCTTTTTCCTGCGCTCAGAGTCTCTGACAGGGCCCAGATGTAATTTTTAGCCAATCTGAGGGTCTCAATCTTGGACAGTTTTTGAGTTTTCGAGTAGCATGGCACAACTTTGCGCAGGCTCTCCAGCGCGGCGTTTAAGCCGTGCATCCGGCTGCGTTCACGGGCGTTGGCTTCCTGGCGCCGTAGCTTGGCCCTGTCCATCTGCTCCTTGCCAGGCTTCTTTTTCCGAGGGCCTCGTTTTTTAGGAAGCCCATTCTCATCCTGATCGTCCTCTCTTTCATCCTCCTCCCTGTCGGAGATGTCGTCCTCGACCTCCCTCATGTCTGAGTTGGACCTGTCTGGGTTGTGTTGTCGCTCCTGCTCCAGGCTCTCAGGTAAGCTTTCACGGGGATAATTGGCACCAAACCGCGGCTCACACATGATATGAGGTTCCTCGAATGGCAGTGTCAACATATTTCCTGTAATATCAAAGCAAGAACATAAACTAAGTGCAGAGTACACACGTCTTTTTGTAGGGTCTTAGCTAATTACCTCGTGAATGAATCATCTCAAGAGGAAGAACAAATTAGCAAGAAAGGCCAATGTCAAGTTGTGACTTCGTGAAACGAGACCCTTGGCGTAAGCCATTCATCACATTATTTTGTGATAATACATCGCAAAACTCTGGTATTTGTTTTAATCGAACTATAGAACAGAATTATTCTACACACATTCCAAGTATTTAATAAAAGCCCACCGAGTATAAACAAATGCATCAGCAATATAACACTAACCTCTGGTCAGCGTGCACCTTGCATGGTCCCAAATGTCTCCCTTGGATCTGCGCTACAGCTTCTTCTCTTGCAAACCATCAAATTAGAGAAGGCTTAAGCCTGCGCACCCTCTCTTCTATGCCTCGCTATGTTCTGCTTTCCCTTTCCTCTCTCCCCCCACCTTCTCCCTCTCTCTCTCTCTTCTCCTTCCCTCTCTCTTTGAGGAATGACACTCGTGCCAACAGCGGGTACCCATGCCATCTGCCGCTGACGTCTTGTGGCAGCCGAGACCACGTGTTTAGTGTCCCGTGGGACCTCCATTCCGTACCGATCATCTGGCAGCTCCGGTAATGGGCACCGGGAGGCCCACGTTTACCGTCAAAAACACAGACCGGAGAGGGATAACAACTAATATCTGCATCTCCCCGTGTAAGACAGATGAATTAATGTCTTTTTGCCTGGAAAAAGGAGGGATGTGCAGGAGAATTTACAGACCTTCTCAACAGGTAAATACATAGATTCAGGAACGTAGTGTATAAAAACTGAATGCAGCTCCTGTGGACTTTCTCTGATTACTATACATGAAATTAAACCAATGAAAGATACATTACTGACAAGGAGCGGCCAAGGAAAACAAGGACATGTTTGGACCAGGAGGATCTGAATTCTAGCCACAGAGACACAGTATAAGTATGTTAACCCTCATGTTTGGGTGAGCTCCTGGAGAGACAACCAGCTTGATACTAATTTTATGAGAATTGCTTTGATTTTGAATGAGTTTAAAGATGTTTCAGAAATCTACTCCAGGAAATGATGTATTAGTTGTGTCCAGGATGTAAAACATGTTGGATCTGTATGTTCGTTCTGTAACAGGGAGTTACACCTCTCTGGTGTCCACTTGACCACAAACAACAGAAGTGATGTCATAATGCAGGCCAGTACATTTCTTTGCCTGTGAACTACTGTTCGCAAGCTAAAGCAATATATATATTTGTTTATACCAATCTCATAGACTCAATTACTTTGTTGCCACCTTCACAAAATATGCTGCCCACTTTGTGGTAAAGTGAAGGGTCACCACTCACCATAATTTCAGTAAATGCTCCAAAATTACTTTTCAAATTAAGTGACAAAGCCCTCTGGGGTCCTTAGTCATGTTTTTCTAATCTTAACTAAGTTCTTAATTTAACACAAACCACTTGAATCTTAACACAGTCATGTTTGTGCCTAAACCAAACCTTAACCATATGGTGTCATACCAGAACGGCGTTTTGTTTTCCAACTGTGATTTGTAACACTTTTGGAAAGCTCTGACAAATTATGTCATCCTGCCAATAAGGGCGTCAGATCAGAGAGAAACACTTCTGTGTCCTTCAGGAGGCAGCCACCAACGATTTAGTTGTTTAATTTGGAGCAGTGGCGTCTGTGGGACACCGACCAACGGGGGAGTTATGATCATTACAAAAACATACAAGTGTTGCTAGAATATGTGGTATGTTATGACCAACTAAATGGCCTTATACTTGTATAGC